TCGCCGATGTCGGTGAAGTGCGGCGGCAGCTCCATGTACAGCTCCTCCTTGAGATCAGCCTGCAGGTAAGCCGACTTGAAGTCGAGCTGGTGCAGCTGGTGCTGTCGTTGCAGGGAGACGGCGAGCACAGTGAGGATGGTCTTGGCTGCTGGTGTTGGGGCGTAGGTCTGGTGGAAGTCGATGCCCGGTCGCTGGCTGAAGCCCTTGGCGACCCAGCGTGCCTTGAAGCGCGTCGGCGCGCCCTCAGCATCACGCTTCACCTTGAAGACGAAGCGCGACTTGAGAGGCGTGTGCTGCCGTGGCACGGCGCTGCGTGGGATGAGCTTGATAACGCCGTTGCGCTCCATGGCCCCGATCTCCTCCAAGCATGCCTGAGTCCACTGCTTGCGTTGCTGGCTCTTGAGTGCCTGCTTGATGCTTGCAGGCTCCGTGAGGCTGGTGTCGCCACTGCTGCTTGCTGTGAACGCGCCTGCCTCGGTGTCGCTTGCGTCTGTTGTGTCTGGATCGTAGTTGGCGTCGTTGGTGTCGCTGCTGCTGTCGTCGTCAAAGTCCGTGAGCAGGAAGTCTGTCTCGACATCCTCGTCCTGGTCATCGTCGATGTGAACCGTTGGTGGCTCACCGTCAGTGGTGCTGTTGCTGCTGTCACGTGCACTGGGAAGCTGGAGCATGGACGATGTCGTGGATGTCTGCACTTGCTCCTCCCCCTCATCCACGACATCATCGGCCTTGGAGAAGGGAAGGAAGCGGACGTGGATGGAGGACACAACAGTGTTTGTGTCTGCAAAGTAGACGAGGTGGCTGTTGCTGCTGCTGTTGTGGCCGACGTAGATGCCTCGACGACCCTTGGGCTGCAGGCGACCGCGCTGTGTGCTGATGTGGACGACGGCCGGCTGCCCGAAGACGTGCAGCTGCGGCAGGTGCTTGGGCAGCGAGCCCGTGACAATTTGCAGCGGTGTCTTGCCGTGGAGGGAAGGGCGAGGCATGTTGTTGAGGATATGGAGGGCGTGGTTGCAGGCGAGGCTCCAGTACGATGCGTCAAGGCCTGCACCCGTGATCATGGCTCGCACCATGTCGGAGAGGGTGCGCACCTGTCGCTCGACGATGCCGTTCTGCGCCTGGGTGTACGGCGGGGACTGCTGGTGCTGCTTCAGGTGCTTCTTGACGATGGCCTGGAAGTCAGCTCCGAGGAAGATGGCATCGGAATCCGTCTGGAGTGCTGTTGTTGTGGGCGAGATGGGGAGCTTGGTCTCGCGCAGGAAAGACTGGAACGCGGCAACTGCGTCCTTCTTGGCGTTGAGATGGACTGCATGCAGGAGCTTGCTTCCCTCATCGACGATGACGAGGCTGTAGCGCTTGCCCGTGGGTGAGTCCGCGGTCCAGTCGACGATGTCGGCGTGGATGCGCTCGCCGGGCACCTGTGTGCGTTCCGCGTGCTTGCTGACGCTGTGACGAGTGCTCTTGGTCACTGCGCACGTTGTACACTGCTTGCTGCTGATGGCGTTGCGATCGTCGATGCCCATCAGCTTGCAGTACTGCTGCACGTCGTTGTCGTTGCGGTGGCCAAGCACATCATGCATCGATGGTGTGTGTGCCTTGCTCTGGGCTGCAGGAGCTGCTGCGGGTTGCTGTGGTTGCTTGCAGGCATCAGCGGTGAGACCGTGTGCCGTGGATGGACCAACAGCAACAATGGGCCAGCACCGGAGGCTGTTGCGCTCCTTCAGCTTGACCTCGGCTCCGTGGCTGAAGCGCACGTAGTGCCCATCAGCGCCATCACGCTGCGAGTGGCCCGTTGGCCTGCCGCTGCTGTCCCTGGTCAGACGACCGAGGGCGATGAGGTTGGCCTGGCCCTCGGGCACGTAGAGGCACTCCTGTAGCACAATCTGCATCGTAGCTCCGCTCGTCGTGCGTGCATGCAACAGCACAGAGCCAACACCGCGCACGGGCACACGTGTGCCGCCAAACGCAGTGATGTGGCGTGGATGGTGCTGTTGCAGGTGCGGTGTCAGCTCCACGAAGGCGTCCTTGACGAAGGTGAGGTGGTGTGAAGCACCCGTGTCTGCAAGCCACGTGAGTGGGTCGTGCAGCTGCGTGGGTGTAGTAGCTGTGGCAGCGACGAAGGTTGCTGCGTCTTGACCATGTTGATGCTGTGCCTGTGCAGTGAAGCCTGTTGCTCCGTTGTCGCGTTGCTTCTTGCGACACTCTGCTGCACGGTGTCCATACTTGCCACAGTAGTGACAGTTGCCACGGAAGCGGCGCTCCTTGCCGTTGCTGTTGCCGTTGCTGTTGCCATTGCTGTTGCCATTGTTGCGTCCCTGGCGTCCGTGGTTGTTGCTGCTGTTGGAGAAGCCGCGTCTTCCACCTCTGCGTGGCGGTGCGCTTGCCATGAAGCCGCCTGCCTGCGGCTGTGTGCGTGAACCACGCATCTGCTGCTCCAGCTGCTGCAGCCTGATGCTGAGCTCGAGGAGGGAGGGAAAGCGGCCACTGGCAAAGTAGGGAAGCGTGAGCGGGGCTGTCCAGCGTGGCAGCTGCTTCCAGACGATGGTGAAGAGGTCCTCGTTGTCCTGGCGCACGCCTGCGTCCTGCAACTGCTGCTGCAGCTCCATGTGTCGCTCGAAGAAGCGGGCGAGGTTGCCGCAGGGGACGTGAAGCTGCGCCTCCTTGAGCTCTGCGATGCGGAGGCGGTCCTGCGAAGCGTAGTGGTCCTTGAGCCGGGCCCATCCTTGGCCGGCGTTGACGTCTGCTTCTCCGTTGGTGAAGAGGAGAAGGGGGTAGCCTGAGAGCGTGGACGCGATGAGGTTTGCAGCGGTGAGGTTGGCGTGATCTCCTGCTGTCGGTCTCCTTGCACTTGAGCGTGTCGCTGAGCTTGGACCTCCCGATGACGATGCTCCTGCCTCCACAGCTGCCCAGACGTCGTCGCCGCGGAGCTTGAGCGCCATCTTCATGCGAATGCTCCACGCATGAAAAGGTGCCGGGCGAGCCAGAGAACTTGGGCAGGTCCATCTTGAATCCTGGCGTGGAAAACGACGTGTCCGACGGGTCAGACATACTGCACGCTCAGAAGGTGATGCCTGCA